ACATTATTTAAACAACCAACAAATCTTCTTATCCTATCAAAACTTTTTTCAACAACACTTGTACTTTAAAGTTACAACATTAATGCCAGAGTTTTCATAACTACTACCTATTACAAACTTACCTACTCAAAATCTTTATTTATTAAATATACTATACCATTTATCAAATAAATCCAAAAACTCTACATCTATACAAATCGATTTTAGAGAAATTTTAGCACTAATTCATATACATAATATTACAACTTCTCAAATCGTTCCTTTATCTCAACTACAAATATCTCTACCTTCATATGACATTTAACTTATTAAACAAATAATCTAAATATTCACCTATCAAAATTAATTAATAAATCTTCATATACTTATCTCTAACATGAACACTAAAAACTTATACTTTTATACAGATGGATCTCTTAAAAATCTCCAAACTTCAATTATCCAATCTGGTATAGGATGGATCTGTAGAGATAACACATTAATAAAATTTAATGCAGCTACACAATCATATTCAGATACAACTTGTATAGAACTTAAAGCAATTCTTTTTCTTCTAATAGCAGCTTCATCAAATACTTCCATCAATATATATATAGCTAATACTACTGCTATTAACAATCTACAAACATCCACTACAGCAAAACAAATTCAATTTAAAAACTGAGACATAATTCACTATATCAATCATCTAAAAAAATCTAAAAAGATAACTACTATTTTGTATAAAATCAAATCATATTCTACCAACTCATTTTATAATCAAGCTGATTCTCTTGCAAAACATGGAACAAAAAAATCTATTTTCAAACTAAATATCTTAAAATTTAATGTACCAAACTACTTCTCTTGGAATATTTATCCAATTTTCTTTAAAATCCATACTTTTATTAAAAACATTACAACTATTTATGAACTGGTAAATTGGTTAGCTCTAAAATTCTTCCAAAAATATACCAAACATTAAATGGGATTTCAATTTCAAAATTATAAATTCACTCGAAAACAACTTACAAAAATACTCTTTTCATATTAAAATTTTAACTAACAACCTACCTACTATATAAAACCTTAATATTTACTATTCTCATCTATATACTTCATCAAATTGTTCTCGCTGTTCACACACTAAAGACTCTTTTCACTTATTTCTTTGTTCAAAAAATGAAACTGACATCCTTTAATTACTCAACAACCTAATACATGAAACTCTTTTTTCATTACAAATTTCAAACATATTACCTATAATATTACTTAATATTCTTTTATAGTTCACACTTAACTTATCAACTCCTTATTATCAATATATTCTTCATGCTATTACAGGCACTTATACTATTACTACATATAACAATATCAAAGAAATTACAAACAAACAAACTAATTTCCTATTTCTAAATCTTTCTTATAATCTGCTTAATATGTACTTTCACAAACTTTGGTTTACATTTAATATATACCAACATCAATAAGAACAAGCTTGAAACATTACTTCTAAAACTAAATGAGCAAAAATAATTTTACCAACCTCTTCAAATTTATCAACCAATATTACAACTATCAATCAACCAATTAACATTTCTTTTTATATTAAAAAATAGTTTTTACAAGGCTTTTTACTAACAACATGTTTTCTTTAATCTCAGTAACAAACACTTTAGATTTTCTTCAACCTATCTTAGCTTAAACCTAATTTGAAATAATGAGTAGATAGTGTTTATAGAATATAGGAGGTGTAATGTCACATTGGGTGCCAATTTTGTAGCACAAATGTAGTTAGAAATCTTTAATTTTAGAATTTCTATTTTCTAAAAATGTAATAAAGTTTCTACTCTAATGTTATTGAAAAAAAAACAAGGATTGTATGATTGAGATGTCACTAGAATAACACAGGAATGGTTGGGGTCACTAATGTGACTCAGGTACTGTACACAAATAAGATTTGTAATACAAAATGTTATGTATTATAAATAAGAGCCAAATATGAAAATAATTAAGTTATATTAAATGAATTTCTATTTATAGATGGGTTACAGAAAATTTTTGTATAAATTAATAAAATATGGATTGGAAATGATAATATGGTTATACAAAAAACATGTAAGAGAAAAAGGTGATAGGTAAAAACAAAAATAGAAGAAAGAAAAAGTTTTACAAAAGAGTAAAAGAGAAATTTGCTGTAATTTAGCCAATATTAGATCAAAATTCTTTATTTAGAGCTTGTTTTAACTAGGCAAATGTGTATTATAATTTTAATTAAAAATATAAGATAGGTTATTACAATAGAAACTGTAAAAAAAAAATTAATTATTAAAACTGAGACCAAAGGCTGTCAGTACAGTTTTCTCAATGAGTTTAAAAGCTAAAAATATAATATTTTCAGAATATATATAAAATTCTGTGCTGAACAAGTTTACTTAAGACATCAGAACAGTTGTTTTAGTAAAATAAATAGTTATAAGCATTTTAATATAAACAATTTTTTAGTTAATTTTTTGAACAATGGATTTGCAAAAAGAGTTTTAATTGTCCTATTTCTTACTGATTTTTCTTAATAATAATTTATATTACATTTATATATACTTTTATTTTTTTATTTAATTTTTTTTTTTTTTAATATTAATGGTAAGATCATGCCTCTATTTCTATTAAATATTTAACTGAGATTTTTACATAAAGTTTAAATCTACTTTTAAAATATTATAGCAAGAATAGAAACTCAAACTAATTTATTTGTAACCTAAACCAACTGAAGTAGCTAAGGCTTACTTATATTTGAGTATTAGTAATAAGTATAAGAGATTAGTTTGATGTTTAATCCATTGTATACAGTGATGTCACTTGACTATTTGGCTGGCCAAATGGCCAAAAATGTAAATTTCATTTTGGCCAAAATGGCCAAATAATGCTAATAATTTAATTAGTCCAATGTTGATATATATTCATTACTAATTAAGATATAGCTACAGTTATATATTATCTAATTGCATATACATTTTATAAATATATAAAAAATTGACTTTAAATTATTAACACCTTTTGTAATAGCAAAATTTTACATGCATTAGAGCTTTATTATAATAAAAAATAATAGCATGTATATATTGGATTATTAATACAAATTTGAATATTTGAATTTAATCAATATCATAAGATGCTTCTAAATCATCTGCAAAAATTTTACAGATATTCTATTTTACCCTGATATTTAATACAGAGTGTGTTTGAGTAAGCAAGTATTCATTAATATCTATCTCTAAATCATAATCCATATCATCATTTTTATTTTGTCTTGCTTCAACTTCTTGAGCTAATAAATTTTCCCATTTATTAATTAAATAATTAAAGCTTTTGACATGTTTATCTATAGTATTCTCTTCAGATTCATTACAAAAAAGATCTTTATTATGCAGTTGTTCTTGAATATTTTCAGATTCTTCATCTTCAGATGTTTCATCATCTGATACTTGATTTTCTGATTCTTTATTTAATCGATGTTGGTATGTAATTAATGCCTGAAGTTTACTCATACTTATTGCTTTAGAAAACTAATATATATAATTAATTTATTGTAACTTAAATAAACAATAATTAAATTATTATAAAATACTTACAAGTAAATAATTACATCTATTTGTATGAAGAAAACCCATACATGACCATAATTGTTCAATAGAGGTAGCATTTATGCAAATTCTAAATATTTTTTGCACCACAAAACTAAGTTCTTTTGACATTGGTGCAACCCAAGACCAAAAGCTAAAGCTTCACCTTCAAATTGATTAATTGATTTCATATCAAAAGGATATTTATGTGTTCTAAATTGCTCATATTCATGCAAAATTGATCTAGATTTATTGCATGTCCAAGCTTCATAGTAATATATAAGCCATCTGCTAAGATAAACATGATTAAGATTAGTTATATTGGAGTTAAATTTATCCATTCAATATTTAGGATGAAGAAGCCAAGATAAAAGAAGAAGTGGCTGTTCCCATTCTTTCCATCTTGACTCCAATCATGTTAGCATTCGTTAACCAAGTTTAGAATCATCATATTTATTCCAAAATTTTACAAAATAGCAAAGCTATGTAACACCTCATGTAAGCGAGCTTTATCTTTTTGAAGAAGATTAATTGCAATACTATATGGTTTTAGAAGTTTACTAAGTTTATATAATGTTTGCCACCATGCTTCATTCATAAGAATTGATGAAAGATCTGCTAGAAGATATAGTGAATTTTGTGAACTTGTTGTTGTATTTAATAGCTCAGATGGATTGAATTTGGAGCCAAGTGTCTAATAAATATTTAAAGTTTTTATTTAGTAATCTTTATAATTTAAAATACAAATAAATAATATTAAAAAATATAATTTATATATAATAATTAACTTACTTTTAATGCTGATTATGATTTTAGCAAAGAGCAAAAACATTCTAAATAACTATTTCACCATGTATCATTACCAATTGCTATTGCTATATACTTGCTATAAGATTCTTTTTGCAAGTCTCTTAACTGATCTATAAAGTATTTATGTTGTGCAGATCGAAAATAAGCAGCAACCTTAATTGCATTAATTGAAGCTTGATGAAATTCATTTGACTCCTTAAAAATTTCATCTACAAATAAATTCATTTGATAGGCAAAGCATGGCAAAAAAGTAATATTAGCATATTTTAGTCGAAGACATCATCTATTTATTTAAAGTATTATATTTAATTTAGTAGTTTATTTGTTTTTTATACTAAGTTACTAACTATACATACCTTGCTGCAGCATATGATGATGCACTATCACAAACAACAACATTTAATTTAATACCTATTTAAGTAATATTAGCAAACATTATTTCAATTTTTTCAATTACTTCTTTATATCTTTCTATTTCACTACTTATATCAATTCTCTTCCAAATAAAACTTCTCCTTTTGATGTAATAAAAATTGACCTCATTATATTTTGATTAATTACATTCATCTAGCCATCAAAAGTTAGTGTTGGACCAATAAGATTATTTTTAAGTTTTGTTATCATATCATAATTATATTTTTTTACTTCATTATTTAGAATTCTTCCACCTAATGAACAACATCCAGGTAACTTAAGAGAAGGATTTACAAAATAAAATAATTCTTGAACCTCTTCATTTTGTATCCACTGTAATGCCAAACTAGCAGAAACAGTTGCATGAAGTAAAAGACTTTCAAAATTTTTTTTGTCTTGTTTTGTTAAAGGCTGAATAAGATATTTATTTAATGTTCTATTATTTATTATAAATTTTAAAAATATATTTAAGTTATATTATAAAATTTTTTTTAAATAATATATTTACCTGTTGAAATATTTGATTTTACACATATTTTTTTAGCATTAGCTATTTCTGATTTTTCTTTTACTTCTTCTAATTTAATTTCTAATATTTTTGATACTTCTTCAATACCACCAACTTTATTTATAAAATGTTGCCACTTTTTCAAATGATTTTTTACATGCTCATTCTTGTTTGAAAACTTATAAAGCAAGGCAGTTGGTCTACCCAAAGTATCATAACAAGCACAACAAATAGCATAATTTCGCTATTTATCTGCCTTCTTCTCAAGAATTTCAATGTAACTAGTAAGTTTGTATTAGTTTTTTTGAGCGACATAATTTTATTGATCAAATATTAACTAAGACTAATAATAAAGATATTTATATATCATATATGCATTATATAAACTATTATATACTCATATATGCTATTAAAATTTTACAAGCAATTCTATATATGCAAATTGATAAAACAAGAAAATGTTGTATAATATTTACAAAATTTTCTTTGTTGTATCTCTATTATTATTCAGAATACAACTTGTTAAAGCTTGATTTTATTATCATTATAAATGTAATTATTATCTTTACACTTTAATTTGTTCATAACTTATACATTGGTTTTATGCAAATAGACTAATTAAAATTAGATAAAATCAAAATTTTCTCAAACAGTAACAATGCACATATTGACTAGCATATATGAATAAAAAGACTATAATATTAATTAATCTTTTTTGAGAAATAATTTAAATACAATTCAGTATAGCTTTGAACTATGTATGTACATACATATGTACGTACATTGTGAGGGGTTCCGGTCGTCCGACTCTACAATTTTTTATTTTATTTATTATTATCTATATTTTATTATTAGCATTAGTATTATCAAATATATATTACTTAGCTTAGTTATCTGGATGCTCCTTCTCTTGGATCAAATCGATAAGTTGGATAAATTCGCTTTAGTGAATTTATCTGCTTAATCCACCTTAATCGCCTTAGTAGATATAGTGAATTTATTCGCCTTAGCAAATAAATTTAAGAGAAAGTTGTATATTTTAAACCTTGTAAAAATATATAAAAAGCAGAACTGCTCTTGCTCTGAAAAGGAGAAAGAACAGAGTTGAGTAATACTTCGAAATGAATAACAGTAGAAGTGCTTCAGTAGTTTTATACTTATCTTGTTCTTCATAAAAAATGGTTAAATAGAAATATACACTGATCTAGTTATAATTAATAAACTGTTAAGAGTCTTGACCTTTGAAATTTGAGTAGAAGTGTCTCTAAGTTTCCTAAAAATGATATCAACACAAGCTGAATTCATGTTCTCTTGTTTCTGTGATTTCCTCTATACTTAAGTTAGAGAGAAAAAGAAAGTTGATTAAAAACCCAAAAACCCTTTTTATAATAAAATATAATTGATCAAGCTTTGATCAAACATCATTGTTACCTCAAATCGGCTATAAATTGAAATTACGACTATACTTTGTAATCACATGATCCATGTGATGATCATTAAGGATCTTAACAATCGAAGTAGAATACTACAGCCTGGCACACTAAAAATTCAAGCCAAGAAACCACTTTTAGCTTTCTCTAGAAGTTTATCAAATACTTCTATAAGCACAAGACCAAGGTATACTTATCTTAGCCTCCAAATACGTTATAGCAAGACTCAACAAGACTTAGAAACTCAGACCAAGTCTCTTCGCACCTCTTTTTGCCTGCCAAATCGAAGTCTTTAGGGTCTTCGAACAGAAGATTAGAAGTTGTAGTATGTAGATTTAGCTAGATTTAGCTTTAAAACCATTAAGTCACCCCTTTTCAATATATATAAATTAGATTTTCTCACACAGCACAATCACAATAAAATATTGAGCAGCACATAAGAATAAATTGCATATTAACTTTTTTTGGAAAGCAATAAAAATCTAATTCAAAGTATATTAATTCTCATCATTAGTAATATGTCTTGAAAAAACTAGTATATATAATATTGATGTTAGTACATATTAGTGTTGCAGATAAAACTAATCAATTTCACCAGTTTCACCTAGTGCATCATCAGTGCACTGTTGAAGATTAGCTTCATCTATAACTCTAGTTTTATTATCAGTGCACTAGTTTCACCTGGTGCACTATTGAATATTAGTTTCACCTGCAACTCTAGTATGTATATACAGTATTTTTTTTTTTTTTTTTTTAAATATTAACGGTGAGGCCATGCCTTTAACTTTATTGAAATTCAATTGAAGTTTTTAC